CCCGTCCCGCCTCTTCCTGCCCGGTGCCGCGGGGAGGACGCTGCGCTAGAGCCGTTTAACGGGGCTCCCCCCTCGGCCTGAGCCGCGGAGCGCTCCCGGGCTGCTCCAGGACACGTTTAACACCGGTTCTGCCTTTTTACTGACTAAACCCACCCCAAAACTGTGTCTTTTGGCAAATGCCCGTTTGCAGAAGGAGGGGACGGGGACAGGAGGTGCGATAGGACAAACGGGCAGAGAAGCAGACACACCCCCCGCCAACCCTTCCCTCTCCTGGTTCCACCGGATCGGGAAGCTCCGTGGTCGAATATAGACAAGAAACGTATTTATCACCCCCCAACACACATAAAAGGGGTTTATATAAAACAATTCACTGTCCCCAACTGGATAAATATAAAGGAAATGTGTTTGTGTTGCAGAGGGGTTTGTCCTGAATTCCTAATGGGAAAGGAAAAAGCAATGTGAAATGGGAATATTCCACACACAGAGAGGTAAAATGGGAAGAAGTGAGATGTCTCCTGTTGGAGGAGTCCTCATGCACTGTCCATGGGAAGGATGCTGAGGACACAGCAGTGGCTTTGCCATCAGCATCCAAATAATCTGGGATTCAAGGTTAAAAAACCTGGACTCAAGATTGAAGACATTGAATTAGAGATTAAAAATCCAAGATTTGAGATGACAAACCTGGATTTGAGATTAAAAAAATCTGGGATTTGAGATAAAACCCCTTGGGATTCAGGAGTATGGGATTTGAGATCGATAACCTTGGATTAGAGATTAAAAATCCTGAATTTCATATTAAAAAAACAGAGATTTGAGATAAAAATTCCTGAATTCAAGATTGAAAAATCTGGGATTTGACAATAAAAATACTGGATTCAAGATTAAAAACCTGGGATTTGAGACTGAAAAATCCAGGATTAGATGAATATAAATCCTGAATTTAGGATTAAAAAAATCTGGGATTTGAGATTAAAAACTTGGCCTCTAGATTAAAACTGCAGGAGTCAAGATTGATAATCCTGGATTCAACCTGAAACCCCTCACTCATGCAGAACAGTTCAGGATTTCGGGACAAACACAGTGATTCCCTCTTGTCGTTTTGCTTTATTGGTGTTCACTGAGCACATTCCCGGGAGCCGGCAGCATTCCAGGTCACTTGATTTTCCTCTCCATGGCCAGGCTGTCGTGCAGCTTGGACACCTCGGGCTCATAGGCCTCCATCACCAACGTGCCGTTGGTATCGAAGAACTTGGCGATGGACTTGGTGAACTCGGCTTCCCTCTGCTGCTTGGTTCTGCCGCTGATGAACGTCACCTTCAGGGTGTACTTGTCATCAAACCTGCAGGGACATGGAAAACACAACCTAAGCCTGGTTTAACTGAGACAACAGCAAGAAGATGAAGTTTGGAGTGGAGCTGAGGAACAATTCCTTGCCCAGAGGGTGCTCAGGCATTGGAACAGGCTGCCCAGGGCAGGGCTGGAGTCACCGTCCCTGCAAGTGTTCCCAGCCCGTGGAGCCGAGGCCTCAGTGCCAGGGGTTGGTGGTGGCCTTGGCAGGGCTGGGATAAAGGTTGGGCTGGATGAGCTTGAAGGGCTTTTCCAGCCTGTTTGATTCTATGAGGAGAAATACTGATCTTTATTAAGGGGGAAGCCCCCAGGGTGGAGGCTCCCACATGGGCACCAAGAGCTACAAAGTGTGAGTGTTAATTATAACACAATTAAAGGTTTTCATACTGCTCCTGATTAATTTCCCCACACACACATTTAAAGAGAAGCTAGTGCTTCCATGTGGTAATATTCTGTGGTGAATATTAATCATACATCCAGCCTTCCAGTGGCTAAAGGGGGCTACAAGGATGCTGGAGACTCCTCATCAGGGACTGTAAATGACAGGATAAGGGGTGATGGGTTCAAACTGAAACAGGGGGGATTTAGGTTGGATATAGCGAAGAAGCTCTTCCCTGTGAGGGTGCTGAGGCGCTGGCACAGGGTGCCCAGAGAAGCTGTGGCTGCCCCATCCCTGGCAGTGTTCAAGGCCAGGTTGGACACAGGGGCTTGGAGCAACCTGCTCTAGTGGAAGGTGACCCTGCCCAGGGCAGGGGGTTGGGACTACATGAGCTTTAGGGTCCCTTCAACCCAAACAATTCCAGGATTCTATAAAATTGTCCGGGAAGCCGTAAAGATCATGACTTGGAAAGCTCACATCCCTGCTCCAGAAACACCAAAATTTTCCCTCTATTTTGTTCAGGAGCTTCCCAAAACACAGCTTTATTGCTCATGGTAGCACAGGCAAACCAAAGCTGTGCTGGTACCGCATTCCCACGAATCCCAAGATACCGTTTGAGACTGGAGGAAAGCTGCCAAACGTCATCGGGGTCCATCCCCGCAGGGTCTTTTCTGTGAGCTACAAGGAAAATGCTCTTTTCTTTATATGAGGTATAGATAGTCAGGATTCCCATCATCACAAAGTATGTGCAAAGATAAAAGGTTAAGGAACATAAGGAGCAGGAACTGGAAGTAGAAACATGTCAGAGAAATTGGCTGGATCCCCTCAGACACCAGGATTTAACCACCTCTCATGAGACCATTGCTCCAAACAGGCCAATTCCTCATTAACATCAGAAATTAAATACTAATTGGGAGATCTTCATCAATCTTTCCCATTGCCCCCAACATAAGAGGGACGTGGAGCTGCTGGAGCGAGGCCAGAGGAGGCCCCGGAGCTGCTGCGAGGGCTGGAGCAGCTCTGCTCTGGAGCCAGGCTGAGAGAGCTGGGCTGGGGCAGCTGGAGAAGAGAAGGCTCCTGAAGGGGACACCTTAGAGCAGCTCCAGGGCCTAAAGGGGCTCCAGGAAACCTGGAGAGGGGCTTTGGACAAGGGATGTAGGGACAGGCCAAGGGGAATGGCTTGAACCTGCCAGAGGGGAGAGTGAGATGAGCTCTGAGGCAGAAGCTCTTCCCTGGGAGGGTGCTGAGGTGCTGGCACAGGGTGCTCAGAGAAGCTTCACTTTGCATGCTCAGTACCTGATGTGTTCTATCAATACAGAGCAGGTCTTCCTGTAAAGAGACTATGGCCAGAATAAAACCAAAATCAACCCAAAACAACTCCCTGAAACTTTCAAAGGCTGATGCTCAGTTTGGGATTCACACACTGAAGCAGAGTGTGCTCTGCGTGGTCGGTGTCTGAGGTCTGGCGAGCAGATCAGCTGCCCAGGAGCTGTGACCTCTCTGATGTGAACCCTGCTGCAAGGCTGGACCCACACATCTCCCAGATTTCAGTGTGTCACACCCAGACAAGCAGGACTGTTGCCATCACATGAAAACTATTTGATTATCAGCTGATCTCCACACCACAGGAAGTAAAATTCCCCCAGGCTTGAAAGTGGGAATACAGAGAAAAGGGTTTTTTGTGTTTTGTGGGGAAAATAAACCCTTTGGGTATAAATGAGACACCATCTGTAAAGGATATGATACAACACAAAAGGCAAGAACAGGTTTAGATTCAGGAAAGGGGTGCAGGTAATCCCAAATCAAAGCTACAATGGCAAAGAGACATGAGATTGTGCAGATGATGAGGCGGCCGTCGATCAGGCGGAAGTTTTCAACGTACTTGTACTTCTCCAGGAGAACCTGAGGGAGAAACATGGAGCTGAGATTGTTTTGTGCTTCTCATAAATGGGATAAACTGCTTCTGGAATGGACTTAGATAGAAAGGAGTTGATTACATGGGTAAACTGAGCAGCAGCTTGATGCAGAACTAGTATCTGCCTTGGGTATGGTCGAAGGAGGGGATCCTGCCCCTCTATTCTGCTCTGGTGAGACCCCACTTGCAGCACTGGGTGTAGTTCTGGGGTGCCCAACATGAGAAGGACATGGAGCTGTTGGAGCAAGTCCAGAGGAGACCACGAGGATGATCAGGTGCTGGAACAGCTCCTGTATGGAGACAGGCTGAGAACACTGGGGCTGTTGAGCCTGGAGAAGAGAAGCTGCTGGAGACCTCAGAGCAGCTTCAGTATCTGAAGGGGGCTACAAGGATGCTGGAGAGGGACCTTCATCAGGGACTGGAGTGACAGGACAAGGGGTGATGGGTTCAAACTGAAACAGGGGAAGTTCAGGTTGGATCTAAGGCAGAAGCTGTTCCCTGTGAGGATGCTGAGGCACTGGCCCAGGGTGCCCAGAGAAGCTGTGGCTGCCCCATCCCTGGCAGTGTTCAAGGCCACGTTGGACACAGGGGCTTGGAGCAACCTGCTCTAGTGGAAGGTGTCCCTGCCCAGGGCAGGGGTTGGAGCTGGAGGAGCTTTAAGGCGCCTTCAACCCAAACCATTCCAGGTCTCTATGACCAGGGCTTACAGGAATTACCTTTTTGGCAGAATCGTCCAAGGAATTTTTCACAGCTGAACCGTCCCATTTGTCAATTTTCACTGGTTTGTCGTCGATCTTCCACTGCAACAGAAACAAAATGGAGTTAAAGACAGAACTGGCCTTTCATTTTAATGCTGTGTCGTGAGCACAAGGATGGGAAACAAGCCGGACAACAGCCGCCTGGTTGGGAAAACCGGACCAGAGATGGAGGGGATCACTGGATTACACAGCTGTGTCACAGCCACCGCCACTTCAGCACCACCCTACCCGTTACCTTTATGGATTTAAGCTTTTAAACCTTGTCACAGACACCCAGAAAGTGACTTTTTACACCAGTTTTACTCTAGTTTTGTTTCCATGTTTGCTGCCATCCACAGAAAGTGTTGGTTTACTCAGCGCTTGCTTTGAAATCATTCCTGCCTTCCAGCCAAGCTGTGGCAAACACTCTCTGGGGACTGACGACAGGAGGAGGAATTCCAAGGCCCCTTTAACAATCCAAGTACAAGGGGAAAATCCAAAGGCACCAACAAGAAATGAAGTTTCAGCCCAACCATCCTCCAGAACGAAACCAAAAGTCTCTGTGGCTTTTCCATACCCAGGTTTTCCGTGGAAACAGGTCCTTTATCAATAATGAATGTCAGATACAATGGCTCAGTTCCTCAAAAGGGCTCATTTTCCCTGGATTGATACTATTTTGGTGACACTATTCCTTTTAGCCACAGTTGGACACCTCAGTTTGAGCCCTGTGTATTATTTCAATCAGCTAAGTGACCAGAGCTCAAATTTTGGCTGCTGTTAGAAGCAATCCTCAACTCCACTCATGGTATTTCCTGCTCCTGAAGCTACCATGTTGAATTTATCAGCTACCAGAAGAGCTCATTTCCCTTCCCTGGCAGGAGACAGACTGGGAAAGGACTCTCAGGTCAGGAACATACAGAATATTTTATGTGGATCCAGAGCAGGAACTGGATTCTTGCTTCTTGCTCTCTGTCCCACACCACCTGACACTGGAATGGCCGGATAACACCAGTGGTATTTAACTGACACTGATCTCTAACAGAGAACCAGCACTTTCAGGGGTAGATGTAAAGCCCACATGACAGATGCTTTGAGATAAAGCTGTTACTGGGGACAAAAAGAATCTAATCTTAGACATCTGAAGCAATGAGCTGAACCAGCAGTTCTCCAGCTCTTGTTCAGGTTCCTCGTGACTGAGGCTGTTCTGGTTCAAGACAGAAACAGCTCGACAATCCCAAGGGATTCATGTCAAAGGAACTTGTACAGGGACACATCCACAGTCTGGGACTTCAGCCAGAAGCTTTAGCTCTCCCTTTACCGTGGTCGAGATGTTCCCCTGAGGTTACTTCTCTTAACATTCTGCAGCACTGCAGGGTGGCTGCTGCTGCTTCTCTGATTCTTCCAGGCTGATCTGCAGGACCAAAGAGCTGAGAGAGGCTGGGATTTGGCCACTACCACCAAGTGCTCATCCTCAAATAGAGGAATCACAGAATCCCAGGTTGAAGGGACCTCAAAGATCATCTGCTCCAACCTTTCCAGGCACAGCATGACCTAGACTGGGTGCCCAGCACCCTGTGCAGCCCAATCTCAACAGCGTCCAACGCTGGGGAGCCACCACTTCCCTGGGGAGATGATTCCAGTCTCTGGTTGTTCTCATTGGGAAACATTCCCTCTTGTGTCCAGTAGGAATCTCCCCAGCAGTAACTTGTGCCCATCACCCCTCGGCTTTTCCATGGGACTCCTTGTCCAAAGGGAGTCTCCAACTTCTTTGTAGCCCCCCTTTAACTCCTGGCACATGGGATCAGGTCTCCCTGAGCCTGCTCTTCTCCAGCTGAACAGTCCCAGCTCTCTCAGCCTTTCCTCACACGCTGCCCAGCCCTTGGACCATCTTTCTGGCCCTTCTCTGGCCCCCTCCAGCCTTTACCTGCTCTTGTGTCTGCAGAACAGCCCTGCCTGGCTGTGGAGGGAAGGTGAAGCTGCACCCATGTCCCGTGGAGCCTGGCAGATGCAAACACATCTGCTCTGGCTGGTGAATGGCATTTTCCAATCAGTTACTCATTTTGAGCACGTCCAAAGGCTTCAGAAGAAAAGCCCAGGTTTTTGTTCCAGCCTGATGGAGGGGAAAAACCCCATGGCCAGTTCAAAATAGCTCTTCAGTTTGGGTGTGTTTTGGCTCCTTCAGTTTAAGAACGAAGTGGAGGGTTATCACACTTGTCCTGAGCACATCCTGTGCTGGATGGGAAGCAAATGCCATGTTCTACAGAGAGAAAGTGGATTTAGCACCCATGTAAGCACAAGGCTTCAGAGGAAAAGCTGAAATACAGCCAGTGGTGACCTTACTTCAACCAAAAATGCAATTTCAGAAAGCCACAAACCCAATCTGACACTAGAAGTAACTGTGTGAGTACAGAAGCTGCCTGTAGCTGGAGTGCAGCAGGGGAGAGTCTCCTCTTAGCTCCAAAGACAGGCACAGCAGAACAGCTCTTGCAGCAGACACTGCAGGATCTGAGCTATCACCTTCATTTAAAGCTCTTCCCGAAGCTCTCTCATGAGCAGGAGGCAGGAAAAAATCCTACAGGAGAAATTCCAAGATGTTCACATCAGAGAATAAAGACACAGCACAAACTTCACTGGATTTTCCCCTCCTGCCACTGCTGTCAACCTCATTTACATCAGATTTAGTCTGCAGCATCTCCCAAGTTGCTACTTGTCTCTTCAAATGCTGCTCTCAAGTTTATGGTGCAGTTTGGGTATTACAAACATAAAGAAATCATACAGCAAAAAAAGGTTTGTTCTACTGTAAGAGGAACTCCAGTGTAGACTATATAAACTCTTGAAGGGGAATAATGTTTCTGCATCTATTCTGTGTTTTCTATTACACGGATGGAAAGAAAGGAACCCCCCTTCCTAAAACCAGAAACTTCTCAAACCAGGACATGCAATGCTGTGGCTGAGGGAGGCTGGAAGACCAGGACACGATGCACATCACCTCCCTCGAGGCTCACAGCTGAGCCCCAACCCTCAGGTCTCCTGTAACTTCCAAAATAACAGTGACATGGCACACCATGAGCCTGGCAGAAATGGATTGTGGAAGTGGCAGAGGCCAGGGACACCTCGCTGCAGGTCAGTTCCCTCCTCTTCCTCCTGCAGGAAGAGCTGTAGCAAACTCCAGTGAGTCAGTGTGGCTGTTCTCAGCCCCAGCTAGCTCAACCTCCGCCTTGGAGGAAGGAATTCTGGACCTCACTCTTCCTAAAATACCAGTGCTGCCTGACTGCACTCACAGACAACATCCTCCAGCACCAGAGAGCAGCTTCTGGGGCACAGGAGCAGAAGGAAGTCACAGTAGCTGGCAGTCAGCAAGTGGGTTCAGTCCTGGAGCTTGCAAAACCTTCCAGGGTTTTACTCTAGCAGCAGCAGAGTGCAGTTGGTAACTTGGTGTTGTCCTAACTGGGTGAAGTCTCCAGTGCTTGGGAGGACTGTGGCCACTGCTGCACTGCTCTTAGGGGGTCCTGGTGCAGTGGGGAGAGGTCAGGAGGAGCTACCTGATTATCACAAACACTTAAAGAACATGAGAAGGACAAAACCCAGGTTTGTTAAACCACAAATCGCCCTGAACCCACCGTGATTTAGCTTACTAGTGAAGTACCAAAAGGTACTCTAAAGAAGCAACCTGTCCATAGACTTCAAAGCCTTGTCCCTAACCCATCATTTCTCTGTTTGAGAACAACATGAACAAGTTCTCCAGAGAAAACCTCAGCAATATATACACCAGCTCACAGAAATGACTGGATTTCATTTAAGTCATCCAAGAAGAGGAAATAAAGGCACATAGATCGGCATGGGGGCAGAGGGAGAAGAAGACAGAATGTTATTAAGTGTGTGTATGTACTTCAGGCAGAAGCCCTGCTGAAACTATTCATGGTTGCTCACTGAAGGGTTCAGCTCCTGCACCAAAATTGTGCTTCCTTTACCTACAACTCCTCCTCATCCTGAAATAACCTGAGAATCCACAGAACACGGCAGCAGAATGCCTCCACAGCATGATGCTTCCCAGAGTTCTTCCAGTTTAACCACAAAGCACTTGTCATTTCAAAACCAAAAGCTGAGCACATTTGCAGAAGAGAGCCAGAAATATTTCATAAGCACATCTTCCCCTAAAAGCATCCACTCAACAACTACATAGAATCATAGAAGAGTTAGGGTTGGAAAGGACCTTAAGATCATCTAGTTCCAACCCTCTGCCATGAGTAGGGACACCACACACTAAACTATGTCACCCAAGGCTCTGTCCAGCCTGGCCTTGAACACCGCCAGGGTTGGAGCATTCACAGCTTCCTAGGGCAACCCATTCAAGTGCCTCAGCACCCTCACTGTGAAGAACTTCTTCCTTATATCTAACCTAAAGTTCACCTGTTTAAGTTTAAACCCGTTACCCTTTGTCCTACCACTACAGTCCCTGATGAAGAGTCCCTCCCCAGCATCCTTGTAGGCCCCCTTCAGATATTGGAAGGCTGCTCTGAGGTCTCCACGCAGCTTCTCTT